TTAAACCAAACTGACAGGCGTTCAATCTCAGAAGCCTATATAATAAATAAATGCAAAAAAACAAGGTAAAAAGCCAAATAGATTGGAAATATAACAGTTTCCTCTCGTCATTATTCACTTCTATGTTGGTAACAAAAAAGTTAAGGTTTTGGTCCTATGCAGATGCATTGATATTGCCTGAATATTTATTGCCACAATTCACTTGATTACTTGAAGTTCAAGTTTCAGTGGGAACAACATCACTCACTGAGTTGCAAGTAGATCCAGCTGACGAGTCCAAAATGGGACGAAACGCGCCTCCTGGATTCTACTGCTTGCCACAATCAATTAAATTATAGAAGCTGTTATGCTGAAGAAATAGAATCAACCAGCAAGGATCCATAATGCGCTACGATTTCATACAAGTTGGAATGAATGATGAAAACGTATGTTTAGCGCTGACAAAATATATTTTTCACTGATCAAAGATGCAACAGTTAGCGACACAAATGCGAAGTAATTCAACTCGATAATGACAGTTTAAAATTCGGTAGATGAATCAATCAGTTTTTCTTTTCTTCTAAAACCTTTCGGTAAATTTGTGATATAAATTAAGTTAGTCTAATTTTAGTCTAATAAATTTATGTGACAGGAAAACGATGATACAGTGGTAGTGAGTATAATTCCATATTAGGTTCTTTTATTTAGCACAGTGTTAATCAACTATACTCGAAACATCACTATCATTACCAAATAAACTAATGCAATATGCGATCTAATGAACTATTAGTAATATCCGTTGGGCATATTGACCGTTTCACCTACCTGAGAAATCGGATCAGCCTTGGTGGGTGAGTCACCGACGACAGCTCTGTACAGACAAAAAAGAACTCACTTGCCCTTTACCAACTCAAACCATTTATAGCGCCATAGTGAAATACAATTGTCTGTTACAGGTCAAGTGTACTGCGCAGTGGTTCATTCTTTTCTACTCTTCGGTTATGAAGCATAATTATTAAAGGTAGAAGATATAAGAAGGCTTCAGGTGTTCGATCACTGTCACTTTTGTGTCAAAGGCTACAACCATATATGGTTGTAGAACCATCAAGTCAGAAACTTAGAAGTCAAACGTAGAGTTTTGGACAGAAGAGGAAAGTCAGTTGATGAGATTGCTACCCTATATCGAACCAGACGACTAGGACATGTGTTGTGTTAGGTCTCCCTAGTCACTTTTTACTTTGTCGCGCAATGTTAGCTGAAGTAATTTTAGGCTAGAAAAGGTTAGAGGCGATCATACTGAAATATATGGCAACCCTCCATGAGGTCTTTGACTATTGATATGAGCAGCGAAGGGTAATGTAGACATGTGGGATGAGGTTGAAGTGGTAATCTAAGTCGGTAATTGGATACGCTACGTGATACGGATTAGAATCGAGGTCAGTGGCACAAATGTATCTACACATTACCTTCATCTGATTATTCATGTTGAATTTGATTATTGTCTTATTCCTCCTTGTTATTCTTTCAACGAATTTCTACCACGTCTGCCTGCTTTCGTCATTATCACTTAATGCATGCTCATTTGATGTGCTGATATATGTTGTGACCTGGACAGTTAAGCAGATGACCAATGTCTCATATTTATATTATCTATCACTACTTATATCCATATGTGACAGGCAACAGACAAAGAACCTCAGTATCAGCTTTTTCAGAGTTATAGATTTCCATGATTGATAAATACTGTAAAGCACTGGAACTGATTATATTCTGCATCCTTTAAACTGCAACAGGAATAATAGTCCACGTACGATAGCTGTTGACAACTTCAATATGATCCACGTAGATCGCTGAAAGTTCACAACATCTTCGACTGACTTAACTTTCTTCCTCTTGAGCTCTTTGCTCAGCCACAACATGGCTAACACGGTGATCCAACCATACGCCAGCAATGCTACGAAGACATCTAAGGTCAAAAAACCGTAGTCCTGTTTAGATTAGATTCTCAAAGACTATTGGTGGAGAGCGGACGAATGTGCAAGAAGATATTGAGTTAAAACCTTGAATGAATATATATATATATATATATATATATATATATATATAAACATACTCAGGACAACTATGAGCATCGTTGCCTATGAATGTTCAAATCTTTTTCCGAAACGACTGGATTTTAGCATTCGTCGATTGAGAACTAGTATTCAGTCACAAAACACCGGTAGGAGGTGCCAATCTTGAATACAGAATAACCCCGTTAAACTTTTCAATGTTCACGATCTTGTAGAAAAAAGAGGAAAATACTCCAGCAAGTTGACACAGAATAAATAACTCACATTGGATTCCAATCTACCAAAAAAAATAGGGCGAAAATCTCGATAATATCAACCTTTATTACCCCTTAAGGATTTTTTGATGTATTCATATTTAATCTGAAATGCATATCAAGAATTCATTAAGGGGAGATTAGCGATGAAATCATATTTTAATTAGGGGCATCCTTAAAAAAACATTTTATTGTTTTCGAAAATTGGACGAAAACAAACATAACTCTCACCTACCAATAGTATTAAAATTAATTCACGTTTCTGTAGGAATATTTGTTTCAAATAATTTTCTCCACTTGTTCTGACGCTTTGTTTACCTAGTTAAAACATGAAATCAAAAATATTTTTCGACAGTTACTTTAACTACTTGCAAGTAGTTAGATTTGTATGAGTGAAGAAAAAAAGGGTTTGTATCTTCACATACTGTGAATGGATACGATTCACAAACCATCGGAAGACACCTGATATTTTAAGGGATTCTGAACTATTGACTGTATGCTTCACTAGTAAGGGTGAGGAAACTGAACTAAATACTGTTGTAGAATATGATCGTGTCTCAGAAAATCTGTTTTCCTGGGAATACACCCCTTACTACCAAGATATAGTCGAACTGCATTATTTTATATTAGTGTCATAGATTGTTTATTTCTTTAGGTTGACATTTAGACATTTGTTGTTGTGAGCAAAAATCATCCTACCAATGACAATAATGATTGCTACAAATATATGACAGTCAGTTGTTGATGATTGGCCAACTTGCCACCAGTAAATTCGTTTGTACTCGTACTTGCCTGTTACCAATCACAATCTCAGTGGTAACCGATTGAGACAAGGAACCAATTCGCCTAGTCTGTGAACATATCATAACAATGCTGACTCAGATCGAAACACTGAGTGACCTGCAACTAAATCACCTTTATATCAATGATATAAAAAGAACCAAGTAAGCTATGCAGCTAATTTGGTGAAATGTGGTTGCAAAAACCTAATCACTATGAGTCACAGGGCTACAAATGATCAATGATGTTAGATCAGATATCCTGTCTATAATCGTTGACATACATTTATCATCACAAAGGAAAATAGGAGGTCTGTTATAGCAAAACACAATAAAAGAATGATGAACCAACGGTGATGAGTTAAAAAGGTATCTATACCATCAAAGATTGTTTCAAATTACGCAGCCAAATTTATCTTCTGAATAATATATCCCACAAAATTCTTCTATCTCATATATATATATATATATATATATATATATATATATATATATATATATATATATATATATATATATATAATTTGAACAAGATTTTTTTGATCCTTAACAACTCTTAGGAAGAATGAAGATGAATTAAGAATAAAGATTTCAATGAACAAATTCGTTTCCAGTGTATACAAGAATATTAATATTTGATAATCAATAACAGTCAGTAGCGTTCGTGGCTATAAAATAGTGCAGGAACAATAACTACGTATGAGATATGAACTGGAAAGTTTAAGAATGAGGAAGTAAATAAGGAAAGGGAAGGAAAAAGTTGTTTCTGGACACACAATTCCGGTTGTTGCATATGGCCAAAGTTTCAGTGACCTACTCGCACACCCTTTGGAAGACTTTTGTACTTTGTTGACTAGCGCAAAAAAACATCTTTTGGAGCTGTCTGTCTATAGTCAACCAAGTGTTGTAATATGGAGGAGTTTCCTGATCTGAATTGGCCCATACTGAGACGTGTGGGCATTGACGTTTGACAATCTGTATCTAGGTACGGTCTGCATGTCTAGATCCCCAGGATCAGGTGAATTGATATATAAACACATTGCAGTGGCAGGCAGTGACAGTTTGATCCTTGCACACACGTTCACTACTATTCGGTGACGAATTTAACTGATTTGCAGAGACCCCGAAAAAATGTCCTCTGGACAACCTTAAGTTTGTGTGTAACTACATCATCGGCTGAATCTCCATTTAATTTTTCTTCTTCACACTGATAGGAAGTAGGCTTACGGGCAACACTCCAATGCAGATATCCTTCCATGAAACTCTTTCACTATCTATTCGCGATGAACGTGTGTGATAGAAATTGAACATCATTATTTAAAGCATCAAGAGCCCAAATCTTCCGCACTCGAGTGGAAAGAAAACGGAAAAAATTTCTTCTTCGACTGATGAAAACACAGCTATAAACGTTTATCAACTGTCTATTACATGAAAAATTTTGATAAATCGATCTCTTGAGCGTTCAATTATATCTTCTTGTTCACAATACATCGAGGGATCCATCCAGATCAACCCAGCACCAGGCATTACTGCCTATCCATCCGAGTTGCCACACATCATATCAGTACATCAAGTGAAAAGACAGTAAAAGACAGTGCAAGATGAAAATAAGAAAATTCAGTCAAAAGAAATATAAAGTACGAAAAGAGAGAAAGGAAGAACGACAGAATGGTGAGATTCGGTAAAGCGTTAAGATGAGGATAATGTGTGTATACATCTGCCCCACTGACTTCGGTTCTCAGCCACATCACAAAGAGTCTCCAACCACTGGTTCCTCTCGTCCCACCGACTCCAACCATCTAGTCTGCATACACCCACATGGCTCAAACAAACAGCCAGAAACTTCATACATTCATACCATGTTTTAGTCTGGCCACCTCGAGCCTTTTTCCAGCCTCGACCCACCTCAACCAACATTGTGTGACGAGGCAATCGGCGACTAGGCATACGTAACACGTGTCACAACAATCTCAGTCGATGAAGGTTCACAACCCCGTCTACTGATTTACCTCTGCTCCCTAAAACTCTACACCTAACTTCTGCACTCCTCATGTGGTGACACCACAAAGTACGGTCTATGCTTAGAAGGTAACGGTGACGGTGGTCAAACACCTGGAGCCTTCTCATTTCCTCCCCCTTCAATAGCCATGTTTCACAGCCATACACAGTAGAACAGACTGGACTGCTGTCCAGTACATGCGACAATTAATAGACAATCAGATATCACGGTGGCACCATAGGTGGCATAATTTGGCAAAAGCCAATCGAGCCTTTTGTATCCGTGCAGAGATTTCATCGGCCACTGAGCTTGCCACCAGGGCAGGGCTGATCCTATCCTACTTCCCAGAAAGGTGAAGTGGTCGACACACTCAACCACTACACTCCCTACTGTTAGCCGAGGCACCGTTGAAGACCAATCCTGGAGTAACAATTTCCATTTGGTGATGGTGATGGTGGTGAGAAACGCATCCCAATTTCCAACTCAAAGTATTCAGAAGACTCTGAATCTTGTCAGCGTCTTCACCTAGCAGAACTATGTCATCTGCATGTTCTAGGTCTGAAGAAAATTCTCCCGCAATTAGGTCAACCTCTGTGTAGTTAGGTGATGAAAAGGAGACCTCCATAAGAATATCTATGATAAAATTGAGTAAGAATGAAGGGAGTGGGCACCCTTGACGCACACCGACTGACAAGTACAGCTCTACGGACATCTTACCATTGGCTCTAACACGCCCACAAGTGTTCGAGTACACTATGTACTTACTCGGAACGCCTTTCAGCGAGAGACATTCACATAAGACTTCTTGATCAACGGAGTCGAATGCCACCGCCTTCAGGTTTAGGAATATAGCTAGTGTCGGGTGTCGGTAAGCATGACAGTGTTCTAGGACCTGAGGCAGTGTGAATATTTGGTCGATACACCCACAGCCGAGTCTAAAGCCCGCCTGCTTGCCTGGTTTTCTCAGGCTTGCTGTTCTCGAGCTCCAATCAGGCGTCAGAGAATTATAGAACCTACGATCTTGGACACTATGTTCGTCAGGCTGATTCCTCTGTGGTTATCACAAAACGACTTCTCACCTTTCTTGAAGACTGGAATAATCAATGACTTAGACCAGTCACAGGGGATCATATTTGATTCCCATATACTGGTCAACACTCCAGTGAACCTTACTAAGACCACTCTACCACCATTCTTGTAGACCTCAGCAGGTAGTCCGTCTGGTCCTGCCACCCTTCCTCGTTTCACGTTACCTACAGCTTCCTCGACTTCTCCTAGTGTTGGGTGGCCTATCTCAAGATTCCATTCAGCATCCGACTGGATAGTAGGCAACGCAATGGTGGCTGGAGGCCAGTTAAACTGCTCCTCGAAGTTTTCTGTTCACCCTTCTAGTAGTCTTCGCCTCTGCGAGTGAGTCGCAGATCCATCCTTCTCCACTATAACCTCACTAACTGTTGTTCACCTTTTCCTCCCAGTATCCGTAATAAGTCTAAATAACTCTTTATTGTTACCGTTAGCCGCTGCCTTTTCCATCTATTTAGCCTTCGCTGCCCAACACTGTTCGCGGTTGTTCTGTAGACTTTTTCTCATTATGATTTTAAGTTGTGCTCGCTCACAGCCTGCAGGCAGGGATGCGTTCACGCGCATCCATTAGTTCGGAAGAAGCTGCTGATATCCCCTTCGGGTCTTTCTACACATTCTTTGAAGCTTTGCTACAGTCTCCAGTACTGCTTTCACAGCAAACTGCAAACAGCAGCAAGCTTATTCTGGATAAGTGATAGTCTTTTATTCCGACAACTGCCTAGCCAACTTCTCACTGAACACAGCTTTGGGGTTTTCGTTGTCTAGCAGCACTCTTAGCGGTTTTGTTGCCAAATTTTTCCTACGTCCATTGAGACCAAGGCATATATGCACTCGGACCAATGCATGGTCGCTATCCAGACACGCACTCCAAAATGAGCGGCAGTCTTCCACCGATCCTCTCCAACGATGACTAATAGCAATGTGGTCTATCTGTGTTCATCGCTGAGTTAGTTGAGCTCGGTGGACACCACGTCAGACAGTGCCTTTCTTTATGTCTGAAGTTTGTGCTAACTAAAAATAGGCGATTATCTGAGCACAGTTGTAGTAGGCGATCACCGTTATCTGTACGTTCAGCTGGGATTCCGAAAGTCCCACCTAAGTGCCTTTCTGTATCACTCAGTCTACCCACATGTCCATTGAAGTCACCTGCAACAATCAGGTGAGTCTGGACGTTCGGCTTTCGAGAACAGGCTAGACAGTTTACGGTAGAACTCGTCTTTCACTGCATCCGAAATGCAGTCACTGGGTGTGTAAGCAGAGATTACAAAGAGACAACGGTGAGTCTCACTATTCCTTTTAGTTCTCACTGTGCCGTCCAGTCGGATAGCGCAGAGGCGATTATCAACTGGGATCCAGTCTAATAGTGAGTTTTCTGTCCTAGTGCTTAATGCTATCCCTACACCTGCAAGACCCGGAGAGCTAGCCATCAAATCTCCAGATACTCGAAGGGTGAATTTTGCAGATTCACCAGATTGGTAGGGAGTGGTCAGGTGAGCAACCGCACTTGGGTCCTGTGTGCGTGTCTCACAAACACAGCACACATTCATGGTCAGAGTTGCTAGAGTCTTTGTCAACGAAGCCTGTTGACCAATTTGATAGAGGGTGCAGACACTGAAGGCTCCAATATGTAATTTGGAGCGTGGTTTAAGGAGACCAGGGATGCTGTTCTGTGAACTCAGATCGTTGTGGAATGCTGCAGAGCTAAGAGACATTGAAGATGATGTAGTATTGTTCATTGGCAGACGTGAAGGAAGATTAGGAGGTAGTGATGGGGAGGTGGATAGCAGTCTGAGGAAACTTGAGTGCTGAAAGAGTTGTGAGGGCGATTGATACTTCCCGGCTGCCCACACGGTGGAAGGTTATTTCTTCTTAAAGTACCCCAAAGAGATTTGTGTGACCACAGAGCCCATCGGACATCTGCTTGAAGTTTGTCACACTCAGCCTTTTATGTATGCTTGTTTTGAGCTTTTGTTGTTTTGGGGCCGGATGGTCGAAAGGAAACGATAAATGAACCAACACCGCCGACCCGGTAGACCGTGGGGCATGATGGAGCGTGTTATTTTTGGGCCGACCTTTTCTAACCCCCTTCCCCTCCACTGATAAACGCAGCATCAGCATAGCACTGGTAGTCATCCAAGGGAAACACCTTACTGCTGTCACACCCTATCCAGCTAACAGCAGTACGACTTCGCCCTCAGACCTCCATCATAGTGTAGTAATTTACACCACAACGGTAACTGCTTTTCGTCTGACCACTATCCAACAGACCTTTTTGGTATGGTAGGACCTCGAGGGAACAAGTATTCCACCACTATAGCTTGTTGGGTCATTGTGATAGGCAAGCCCGACCACCACGTCACGGTAGCAGCTATCGGTCGATGAATGGTATCCTTGAGTGTAAAGTTGGTGGAGGAATGATATTCATTCAAAGATTGAAGTACTTTCTGTAAGTCACCATTCTTGTCACAAACGATGAATGTATCACCGACTGACATATATTCTGTAGAATTTACATTGCTTGATAACTGGATTGAGGAGCATGTCTGTTTCCAGTTGTCATAAATATGTCTGCGTCTCTCTAGTTGTCGGTGTTTTTAAAGTTGAACTGCACATCAAATGTGTCTTAAGAGAAGTTCCTTCAGATATTTTGTCGGTAAACCGATAACATTTGAGTTAATATAGTCAAATATAGAAACAAACTGTTTCAATTAGAGGGACAGTTGCGAACCATGAATGAATTTACAGTGTATTTAGGGCAAATGAGAAGCGAAAATGTTGACAGGTGTAAAATCGAGCCCGGTGTACATGATAGTTAAAGCGCTATAATTATTTTTTAACAACGGAATGGAGATGGCATTTCTTCAAAGAAAAAAACAACCTATCTTACCTCCAGTAGCTGATGAACGCTTCGATACAACTGAGTGCGCAATATTACTTCCAGCCAGAACAGCGGCATTTTGAAGTGTTGATGAAGTTGTTGAATTTAAAGCAGACGGTAGAATAAGTGAACCAACACCAGGACGTTCTAATGGTTGATCGGTTAGAAGCATAACCTGTGAACGTAATCTTGGCAGGGTACCACCACCACCAGTAGTAGTAATAGTTGCTGACGTTTGTACTGTTGGTGTATTCGGCGTGATAGATGATTCAGTATAAATATACGAATTCCCATGTCGCATATTCGGAGATGAACTGGTTGCATTGAATGTTGGATTAGAGACAGGATTAGTGGGGAAGCTTAGTGTATTGATCGACGCACCAAGTGCACTACTAACACTACGACCACCGAATTCAAGTGTATTCATCAATAACTGATCGTGACGATTTATAGTTGCATCAATATCATTGGTGAAATCACCACTACCAACATCGCCTACTCCACGACCAACAGCTTCCAACAGTGCATCCATTTCAGTTTCTATCATACGTGTACTTAAGTATTTACGTTCAGCTTGCATTAAACTCCAAAGACGACTAAGTGCTTTCAATTCATCGGATAAATCAGCGTCTTCTTTCATTGGATACTGTGGTTTCACTCTGCAAACAGATAATAATAATAATAATAATAATAATAATAATAATAATAATAATAATAATAATAATAATAATAGTAATAATAATAATAATAACGAATATATAAATGAAGAACAGAACTCAAACACATGATGAGAAATTCGATTTGGAGGTGTATGAGGATACTATTTACTGATTTCAGGTTGATATTTATCACGGATTGACATCACTTGGAGAAACAGTGGAAACCTGGGAGGACTAAACAGCTGTTTCGTCCAAGCATGGGGCTTCTCAGCAGTGCATACCTGCGACCGCGCCAGGTACTGAACCCAGGACATTGAGCACATTACAACTGAGCCATTGGGTCGAAATCCGGCGGTCCACATTGCCTGCTTCTGTCAGTTCACGACATAGTGCAACCTCCATCCAATGCCGTCTTCACTTTCAATTTGGTTGGCCCCACCGGTCACGACTTCTCATCAAAACTTCGGGAAGATCATCTCGAAGAAAGTCACTAATGATGAAGAATACCAACCCGAAATCAATAAATAAATCCCCACAAACCTCAAAACTGAATCAATCTATTGCTAATTGGTGACTAGCTTCGAGAGGTGATCCTCGAAGTTACAATAAGAAGTTGTGACCAATGAAGCCAACCAGGTCAGACGTGAAGATAGTAAGTCAACGACAGTATTAAGTGGAGATCACACTATATCACGAAATGAGAGAAGTGGGGAATATGGACCATTGGATTTCAACTCAGCGGTTCAGTGGTAACGTGGTGACCACGAAAACTGACTGTCCTGGGTTCGATTTCTGGCGGGGTCACGGGTGCGCACTGCTAAGTCACATACTACGACGAAACAACTTTCCAGTGGTTCTCGAACTGGCATTAATCAATGGTCAGTGCCGACGAGAAAACTTGCGATGAAATATACCGGAATATGAATGATATAGCTATTGTACCCCTCAGCAAATAAACTAGAATCTAGCAACTTTTAACCAGTATACAAATACACCAGAGACCGTTACAGCGAAATAGCATAACGAAATTAAACAGATCAAATGTAAAAACTAGTTTACAATGTTCCACAGCCCAAACGAAAATAATCATCAATCAGAAAGACAAAATCGATGAGGAATCTTACACGGAAGTGCATCGTCAGTTCAGCATGCCACTCTTCACAGCAGTATGGAAGGAACAAGTGGATAGATAGTGACTTATAATCCAAGTAAACAGAAGTATGTAGGTGTGCGTAAAGAGAGAGAATCGGAAAAAATAAAGGTTAGTGAAAATGCTCTCACTGTGCATGTCAAAGTATGAATACATCTGTGCCATCGTAACCGATTCTTAGCCATGTCACCGATGGTCTCAAAACACTGATTCTTATAGTCTTGAAGACCCTAACCAGACAGTCTAAACCTCCCTGCATAGCTCATGCCAACAGACAGAGACTAGATGGATCGGTACCACATCCTGATCTAGTCATCTTGAGCTTTAGTTCGACCCAATTTAACTTATCCCAGCATTGTACATGGATATAAATAATTAGTTCCGAATACCATCAATGATCCATAGATTTTTGTTGGATTAGGGAATAGATAATATGCAGTTTCATTTTAGATTTCTTTATTTGATGTACAACATACAGTCATACAGTATCATTCACTTGATAGCGTTTTGAGCATAAAATACTGCTCACATAATCACATCGATGAAATCACACAACTTTCGACATCTGATTTTTATAGTCATATCACCCATCCTCGTTTTCTTTGTTTTTATTGGTAATAAAATCCTCCATATCTACGGTATACGTTTTTCATCCTTCCTATTACATGTCCAACATAGTTAGGGGTAGAGATTGATTAGTGAATCTTTGTTCAGCGAATCAACACGTAGCATATGTAATAGGAAGGATGAAACACGTATACCGTAGATATGGAGGATTTTATTACCAATAAAAACAAAGTAAACGAGGATGGGTGATATGACTATAAAAATCAGATGTCGAAAGTTGTGTGATTTCATCAATGTGATTATGTGGACAGTGTTCTACGCTCAAAACACTATCCAGTGAATGATACTGTATCACTGTGTTGTATATCGAATAAACGAATCTAACATGGAAAAGCACCTAGAACACAACCAAAAAAGATCAACCCGATTGAGACAATGCACTGAATTTTGTGAGCAACCAAACGAATAACACAGGTTTCAATTGACAGCTGTAACACAATAGTGTTGGTATAATCAACCATATGATGGTCACAGATAGGTCCAAACAAAAACGCTGACACTTTAGGTGTTGCCGGATGCTTAACACATAAAGTTCTATCATGTTGATGAGTCTTCTTCGTGGTACATGATCGATAACCTATAGGAATAGTATTCTAATAGTTGAGTTGAAAACCCAGTGGCTAAAATGATTCAGTGTACCGGGCATAGTAACTTGGCTTCCATAAGGATTTTTTTATCAAACTCATCATTGTGAAAATCAGTAAAATGGATTATGACAGGTGGATAAAAACGATGCTAAACATGTCTACTAATATTTGGACAATGGACACTTCTGAAATGAATTATTTACTGTTTACTAAAACATTTCATTGAAATATAGTGTAAATAATATTAAGATATTGAAACGAATTCAATTAACCTGAAAATGAGATTATTTAAGTGTATATCAAGGCTGTAAAAAACAACACCGTCAATCTTGTGAACTCCATAATTCAGTGTGCATAGTTATATGAGCGGTTATAGCTACAGATAAATCGCAAAGATGATTGCACACTTCCTTTTACACCAGAAGCAAAAGATACAGTCATTAAAATGACATAATCTTAAGTACATCTGACTCCACAGAGATTTATCTACGATCTGAAGAGCATATGGTTGACTTAGAGTACTCAGAGGATATTCTCCTGTGGGGTGAAGACGTTGACAAAATGCTAAGTACTTTGAACACGGTGAGCACAAATCTGAGTATTTCTGGTGTGTTTCTCTGGCATCTGTCAAATGTAAGATGATGCTCCAGGATTGGTCTGTAAATGCTCCCATTTTAAGGATAGTGAGTGAAGTGGTGGAATGCGTCGATCACTTTACTTACTGAAGGGGGGGGGGAGCAACATCAGCTAGAAGTGGCCGGTTGCTGATAACATCTCAGCTCGGTTACAGAACGTTCGTTGGCATTTGAAAAGCCCTATCATCTATGACACAAACTGTAGGGATATCTGACTACCTATTAAAGGAGGAATACACTGAGTTGCAGCCAGTTCTGTCCTGCTGTATGGCTGTGAAACATGGCTGTTAAAACTAGAAGATATGAAGTGATTACAGGATTTTAACCACAAATGTCTTCGAAGCACTGATCGCATTAAGTGGGATCACATGAGAAGTCTCATGGTTAGGCAAAATATTCTAGGGAAGGAAAGCAAGTAAGTCAGTGAGGTTTTGAACCTTTATCGACTGAGGTGACTTGGATATGTATTGTGCATGCCTGGCCACCACCTCCCTGTCTTATTTTGCAGTGCTATGGGAAATTGGATTAGGTTGCAAGAAAGTTAAGTTGGGCAGACTCCCTAACATGGTACGTCGAGGCAAGGCGTCGACTGCACATGGCCAAGCCACCTCCGTCGCTGAAGCTGGACAACCGCATCCACTGACTTCCCTTCCTTGCCTAAAACTTTCCGCCCAACCTCATTACTCACAAAGAAACTTCACCATATATGAGCAGTGCTGCGAAGATACCTGCGGACAGAAACCTGTAACCTTTTCATACCATCTTTTTTCAGCGACCATGTCTCATACCTGTATAATAGGGCAGAAAAAAACTGCGGCAAAGTATGCTCGTCTTTCAATAGGTAGTCGGATATCTAACCAGTAAGTGCCACAGATGACGCAGATCGGCAAATGCTAGATGAGTCATTTGTATTGAAACTGAGGTTACGCCAGCAACTCCTGCAGTAAGTGAAGTGGTCGACAGATTCACCACTTCACTCCCTAACCTGAAAATAGGAGTAGATATAGACCGATCGTGGAGCATCATCTTATATTTCACAGGTGCGAAGCGCATGGCAAATATACTCATATTTCTGCCTAATGCGACCAGAAGACCCTATATTTCGTCAGCTTCACCCAGCAGGACAATACGGACTTCAGTTGGCACTTGACTAATGGTAAATTGATGTTTTTTTTAAGAAAAACACATAAACGTACGTGAAATAGTTCAATATAGCTGCATATGCTTTCTCTCGGAGAGCAATTCTAGCCAATGGGAATAAATAACCAGTATCGGCTGGGCACTGACTTCCATTACTTCCTCCTGTCCTCCCACCAGCACTTACTACACTCCCAGCACTACTACCCATTCCACCGCCACCTCCTCCTCCCCCCGCTGTTGTAGTACCACCGGCACCAGTAGATAATTCTTCAGCCGAAATCCCACGGGATCCAGAAGGGGTAGGCTTGAATCCAGTATTCTGTAACAGGCTTAAACACATTTCCACAAGTCGGCAACGTACACCTAATGCAGCCACATTACTAGTTAAACGTCCATGTATAATTGCCGATACATTCTCATAACGTGGATGGCGTTGTTGATGACTGCTACCACTAGTAGACTGCGCAACACCACCTTGCACGGACTGTACGCTTTTATCTAATGAAGATATTTCACCAGCGAGTGTTTTTTGCAACAAATCAAAAAAGATATCCAATTGTTCTTGACTTGATGATTGAGCAACATACAGTCGTTCACTGAAAAACTGAACAAAAAACATACAGGGAAGAGACCATTGACACTGTCAGATAAGAATCAACAACACGCCTCAGACTAACAGTGAGAAACTTCAAAGACTGATGCCACGTCTTCGTCCGACCACCCTGGACCCTCTTCCATTCTAATCGAACATCCCCTAGCATTGGAAGTCGAAGTAAGCGATTGATTGGTATGCGCAGTACACGTGCAAGATGCATAAAAGTTATTCGACAGAATGATTTAAATCATATTTCTGACAGTATGACACTACGTATTTGCTTTTCCCTAGTTGATTGGGTTCCATCGCAATGACCGACCTCATCAGTTGGCATATACGCTCATGTGCAGATGTCTGGAGATAAACAATGACTTCATTTCAATGATATCAAAATGAAACCATCGGCCATATCACTCGGAAGCCTACGTATAAACAAAGGCTGCCCAACAATAGTAAATAATGTCTCAATATCAAACACTATACCCGTTGGACAAAGAGTAACTATCACAACTCAGTGATCAAATGAATAATGTTCGCGTGTTTGAAGCGACGACTGTTAGGATCAAGTCTCAACTGGGAACAATATAACTCACTGGGATGCAGAAACAGCCGTCTGAAGAGTTCCAATTAGGCGAAACTAAGCATCCTGGATTTCTCAAATGCTGGCCACTATCAATCTTAAACGTCTGAGAGTATGTTTCAGAATAAGCCCTTATTCGGGAAAGGTCATGTACTATTTTAAATAATAAAAACCATAAGAACCAACGTCACTACTCTTGACATCAAGTTCAGGAATGCTTTTTCAACGCTATAATGATACCAATTGAACACAGAATTAACAGTAGGACAACACATTCCAACGGACTAGACAAGCAACCAATAAATGTATCCGATCCAGTGCTACAGGAGGTCAATCGCGGTGTGAATGGTTCAATGGTAACTTCTTTGACTGGAACACACGCGGGTTCAAATCTCAGGCAGCACATAATTTTCGCAGAGGTTGTACATATACCTTGCTTCTGAGTGCTCCTAGGCACGTAACATAAGTCCACCGCGTCCTCCCGATCGCCTTAATGCAATTAATCTCTATGGCAAATGTTTCAATTACTTCTGACAAGTGGGAGCAATAACCTCGCCTAGCTAACTAGTTCACTAATAAATACCCGGTCCTAACCTCGGATAAAGAGGGAACGTTGCACACAGGCCCAACAACCCTACCCCACGAAACCAATACAATCGCTAAACAAACTTCAAAACACAAACAAAATATAAAAAATAAAAACAAACTTATTCCTCACTGGAAACAAAAAGGCGAAATGACACCGGTTGGTGAAAGCCTTCGAGAAGCCAGTAGGCCGATGTGTCTTCACTTCCATCGATAAAAGCAACAGTAAGATTACGGACACGGAATGTCCACACACACACACACACACACACAATATCTGAAGCCAGCTGGCATGGCTGCCCAGACGGCAAAAGAGATGAGAAGATATAGCATAGAAGTACAAGGCTGAGAATCTGCGAAACCAATTCGAGTGCAAATGGATTCTCCAAACTCTGAACTGCACAGTCAATAACCTACTCCGATATTGACAGCAACATGACAACTACAAGCACACTAAGTTTGCGAGTGGCTGTCATGATGTCTCCAAGCGCATCAAAAACTCTCATGCAGTGAGAACCAATCTTCTCCAGGATCACGATAGAAGATTCAAATCAAAAGCAACGGAAATCGCAACCATACAATCCAACACTACCCACTCACAAAGAATCCAGATCAATAGAAGAATTGGGAATTCTGCAGACAACTCGAATCAGTAACGGACAAGACTCCACTCCAGTTGCGACATCAAAATTCATTCTAATCGGTGGTGGGGTGGGTGACATGAATGCCAAACTGAGAGCAGACAACACACGAAGAGAACCAATCATGGGTCGAGAAGCACTCACTGAAATGAATGAGAATGGAGAACTGTTTGCAAATTTGCAGATTTCTGTGCATTCAACAATTTGGTGATTGATTCAAGCAGTGTGTACAAACACAATGATATTCACAATGCAGCGACATGCATTTGATTTCACCAAACACCACGACACACTACACCAAAAACCAGATCGACTTCATCTCAATATGAAGAAAGGGGAGATGGAGACGCAGCCTACTGGACACAAGATCAGCAGATCAAGAAGGGGAGCAATGTAGGTTCACACCACTCACTATCTACTCCAAGGAACCTACCTACCTTCAAAATCAAGTTGGAAGCCTTCAAAGAAGTTGGTGATACACCACAGTACAAGTTCAACACCCAGAACAGAAACTGAAGCACAAAACTACAAACGACATCTTCACGTCAGTCAGTCATCAGGAAAAAATGGGAGACATTAGGCAACATCCCCGAGGAAACCTGCCTCGAAGAACACTGGAACTCTTTGAAAGAGATGTGAAAGAAACCTGTATAACCGTATTATGAAGGAAGAAAAACAAGACAAGTAATGGAATGGATCTCAACGCATCTCCACATGGAAGCTGATAAAGCTGGGAGAGGAAGAGGGTGAAACAGAAGATAAACCAGTGCAGTGCTGGCTGGCTGGCTGGCTGCTTGGCTTCAGGAAGAACAAATCATGTGCGCATCAAATTACAACCTACGCTAATCATCATCATACAACAGAGTATAAAATGGCAGTCAACTCAACTCCACCTCAACTTCATCCACTTTGAAAAGGCCTTCGATAGCGTCGACCGACAAGTAATCTGGCAACTGCTACTTCAACACTACGGTTTCAGTGCCACACACCTTTATCAACCTCATTCAACACCTTTATGCCACATAATGCTACATGCCAAGTCTTCCATAATGCAAAGCTCACTGACGCCTTTGAAGTGAAGTGAAGTGAAGTGAAGACAGGGGTAAGACAACACTGCCTACTATCACCCATCATCTTCCTGATTGTGGTCGACTACACTGAACTGCATCATGCAACAAACAACTGGGCATACGCTGACTGGACCAATGAAAAGACTCTAGAAGAAGATTTGGATCTCGCCGATGATGATGATCATGATGATGATTCATGTATAATGTCTTCTCGCACAAACTCGAAGGTCTACAGGCGAAAACTAACAAGTTGACAGAACAGGCACGTCAGCAAAGGAAGACGGGACTTCCTTCAGGTGAATGTAGATAAGACAGATGTGATGAAGATACCCAACCAACAACAAGCATTAATCACCATCAATGGGAGAAAACTAAAGGGAGTTGTCTCTTTCACCTACACCTACATAGGCAGGGCAGAATCGTTTCAACTACAAACGGCACAGGCATACATAAGGATGTCAAAACCAGGATCAGAAAGACAGCAAGATAAACCTTCATTAATCAATCTGAAATCACTGTGGAGATCTACTCCACTACACTCCATTCAACACAAAGAACAAAATCCGGAATTTCAACACCAATGTCAAGTAAGTCAGTGCTGCTATGTGATAGTTCACAAAATTGGCGTGTCACGGAAAACTACTTCCAACAAACTACAGACATTCATCAACACCTACCGCCTACGCTCACTCGATGCAGACACTGAAGATCAGATGGCCAGAATAACAAGAATAAGCAACAAGCAACTCTGGCTGGCAACGAACCAACCAACAACCTATCACCCAACAAATACGCCGAAGAAGAAAGTGGAGATGGATTGAACTGGACATACACTGAGAAGACCATTCCGGGACATCACGCACCACGCCAGGCCCTCGAGTGGAATCCAAAGGGGAAACGACGAGTCGGGCGTCCCAGCTGAGGGTGACATGAAGGAGATCATGTGAAGAAGAAATGAAAGCTTCTGGGCAGTCATGGAGCCAGGTTCAAAAGACTGCAGAGAACAGAGTGCAATGGAAGCGTGCTATTGAAGCCCTATGTTCCACTAGGAACCCAAGGGACAAATAATAATAATAATATGATAGTGGGAGCATTACAATGTTGTTGTTAACATGCAGTAACTAGCTGGTCGCGTCATACATTATTACTTGATAAGTTAACTATTGTTGAGTGTTTTCTTTAAGGAATGAGAATACTTTACCATTTATTATTTTATATTTACTAGTCCCTTGGGTTCCTAGTGGAACATAGGGCTTCAGTAGCACGCCTCCAGTACACTCTGTTCTCTGAGATCTTTTGAACCTGGTCCCACGACAGCCCACAAGCTCTCATTTCCTGTTCGCACGACCTCCTCCATGTCACCCTCGGACGTCCAACTCGTCGCTTCCCATGGGGATTCCACTCGAGGGCTTGGCCTGACGCGTGATGTCTTCAGTCGGCCTTCTCAGTGCATGCCCAATCCATCTCCACTTCCTCCTGCATATTTGTTGAACGATAGGTTCTTGGTTGGTTCGTTCCCAGAGCTCCTTGTTGCTTATTCTTTCTGGCAATCCATCTGATCTTCATTAGCGAGCGTAAGCAGTTGTTGATGAATGTCTGTAGTTTATTGGAAAGCCCTTTCGTAACGCGCCAAGTCTCTGAGCCATACAGAAGCACTAACTTGACGTTGGTGTTGAAAATCCGTATCTTGCTCCGCATGCTGAGTGTAGAAGATCTCCACAGTGGTTTCAGGCTAATGAACGCCTGTCTTGCTTTTCCGATTCTGACTTTGACATCCTCTTCTGTGCCGTCTGTAGTTGAAACAGTGCTTCCTAGATAGGTGAACGAGACTACTTCCTTTAAGTTTCTTCCGTTGACGGTGATTGGAGTTTGTTGTTGTTGTTGTTGATGGTGGTGGTGCGGTATCTTCATCACTTCTGTCTTCTCTATATTCACTTGAAGTCCCGTCTTCGCTGCCTCTTCTATCAACTTGTTAGTTTTTGCCTGCAGATCTTCAAGTTTATGTGACATTAGGCATAAGTCATCGGCGAAATCCAAGTCTTCTAGGTTCTTTTCCGTCGTCCAGTGTATCCCCCTCTTCCCGCTGCCTACTGTTTGCTGCATGATCCAGTCCACCACAATCAAGAATATCATGGGGGATAGTAGGCAACCTTGTTTCACTCCTGTCTTCACTTCAAAGGCATCACTGAGCTTCCCATTGTGGATTACTTGGCATGTAGCATCTTCATATAGTTGTTGAATGAGGTTGATAAAGGTTTGCGGTACTCCGTAGTATTGAAGCAGTTTCCAAATTACTTCTCGGTCGACGCTGTCAAAGGCCTTTTCAAAGTCGATGAAGTTGAGGTAGAGTGAGTTGACTGCCATTCTATGCTCTGTTCTATGATGATGCGCAGTGTAGCGTTGCAATTTGGTCTGCACATGATTTGTACTTCCTGAATCCAGTCAGCCTGTTCCGGTCGTAGTTTTGAATCCAGTGCATCCTTAAGCCTCTCCAGGATGATGCGGATTAATATTTTGCTTGCTCTGGGTGGACAGGAGAGTGATTCCGTGCCAGTTCTTGCAAGCACTGAGGTCTCCCTTCTTCAGGAGTTTGACAAGGTAATCCTTCTTCCAATCACCAGGTACCTTCTCTTCCTTCCACACCTTCTGCAATAGTGGTGTGGTGTGAGCATGTCTGCTGTTGTCTCTGCGTCTGTTCTCTGTGCTTCTGGCGGTATCCTGTCTGGTCCTGCTGCTTTCCCGCATTTCAGTAGTCTTATGGTGTTCAGGACTTCCATTTTTGTTGGAGGATTTATGTTCACTTGTAATTCAGCGGCTGCAGGTGGTATTTCTGGACGAAGTGCAGGTGGTGGTGGTTGTCGATTCAAGAGCTTCTTGAAGTGGTCGGCCCATCGTTTCCTTTGTTTCTCTTCTTTCGTAATTAAATTTCCGTCATCATCTTTTATTGGTTTCATCTGTGTTGGTCTCTTCCCTGATAGCAACCTGGTTATTTGATACAATGTCGTCAGGTCTCTCTTACCTGCAGCCTGTTCTGCTTCACTTGCCAGGGTTTCGTTGAAGTGTCTTTTATCTCTCCGTGCACTCTTCTTCACTTCTTTGTCCAGTGTTTTATACATTGTGCTCAGTTCCTCTTGTCGTTGAGCATCCTTGCACTGGTTTATCTTCTGTTTCACCATCCTCTTCTCCTCTATCAGCTTCCAGGTAACCGTCGAGATCCATTCCTTGTCTTCTTTCTTCTTCCTTCCTAATACTGTTGTGCAGGTTTCTTTCCACATAGCTTTCAAAGATTTCCAGTGTTCTTCCACACAGGTTTCTTCAGGGATGTCCCTCGATGTCTCCCATTTTGTCTTGATGGCTGCTTTGAAGATCTCCTTTGTAGTTTCATCCTTCAGTTTCTGTTCCGAGTGTTGTACTTGAACTGTGATCTGTCATCACCAGCTTCCTTGAAGGCTTTCAACTTGATTTGGAAGGTTCCTTGCACTAGATAGTGGTCTGAACCTACATCTGCTCCTCTTCTTGACCTTGTGTTAAGTAGACTGCGTCTCCATTTTCTTGAGATTGAGATAAAGTCGATTTGATTTTTAGTGTGTCCATCTGGTGAAATCCATGTCGCTTTGTGGATATCCTTGTGCCTGAACACACTGCCTCCAATCACCAAATCGTTGAATGCACAGAATTCTGCAAACAATTCTCCATTCTCATTCATTTCACCTAGCGCCTCTCGACCCATGGTTAGTTCTCTTCCTGTGTTGTCCCCTCCCAGTTTGGTATTCATGTCACCCATTATAATTTTGATATCGCCAACTGGGGTATGGTTTTGTCCAGTGTTGATTGAAGTTGTCTGTAGAATTCCTCATCTTTCTCTTGCTCTGCATTATTTGTAGGTGCATAGCGTTACATTGTATGATTGTGACCTTCGTTCCTTTTGAGTTGAACCTCGCTGTTATGATCCTGGAGGAGATTGGTTCCCACTGCATGAGAGCCTTCGATGCTCTTGAGGACATCATGATAGTCACTCCCTCAGTGTGCTCGTGGTTGGCGTCTTGGTGACAATATCGGAGTAGATTATTGACTCCTCTCCAGTTGACAGTTTGGAGAGTCCACTCCCATTCCATCTGCTTTCGCAAATCCCAAGCACTTCGATGTTATACCTTCTCATCTCCTTTGCAATCTGGGCTGCCTTGCTGGGTTCAAACATGGTGCGGACATTCCATGTCCCCACGTTTACTTTCGCTTTCATCGAGAGAAGCACAGACACATGGGCCAATTGGCTTCCCGAAGGCTTTCACCAACTGGTGTCATTTCGCCTCTCCGATTCCAGCGAGGAATAATTTTGTTATTATTTTTTATATTTTGTTTGTGCTTTGAAGTTTCTTTAGCGGTTAGATTTGTTTTAGGGGGTAGGGTTGCTAGCCGTATGCCCAACCTTCCCTCTTTACCCGGGCTTAGGACCGGCTAGTAACTAGTAAACTAGTTAACCAGGCGAGGTTGAATACCTTCCCATACCCAACGAAATGAAGGCTAATAAACAGAGAGAAAAAAACACCCCCGAATTCCATTATTAGATGGAAATTGATCCCTTGTAAAAGGATTGGCATATCGACACTCTCCGGATAGTGTATAAGAATCAACAGGTTGTATATATTGTTTAATTATCTGCCCTCCTGCCTGCTGCTTCTCTGACGAGACAGCGTGACGTCCGAAAGATAATTCTTATTTTGTGTGTATATGGAGGATGGGGTGGGGAGGGTGAGTCATCCTACACCCTGTAGAGAAGCAGTTAACCGATGGGGAATTTAATATCATCCAGTAGGATTTATTTATTTAGGAATGGGTTATCCACAATGCAGGTTACCAACATCAAGATAATGAACATTCTTATGTATATTTTTTATGAAGGATTGGTTAAACTGATGTACAACTAGCAACTATTTCTGCCTGGAATAGTTGCATTATAGACTACATCTAGTCAATGATGGAGTAAAATTGCATCGTGATTTTGTAGACTTCACGATCTAACCTGTTAGAATTGAATTAATGTAGACTTCATTTTTAAGGTAGTATTCATCACGAACCGAGATCAGTTGAAGAACCAGTGAAGTCCTAGGGGCAATGGACAGCTATTTCGTCTAAATAAAAAACCGTGACCTGTGAGGTCAGCCAGTCGGAAGTGTAGCAGATGCTAACTGAAGACTGGTAGGTAGCCACGCTACATCCTGAAATGACAGAAGTAGGAAACTGTGAACCCCTGGATTTCGACTCAGTAACTGAATGTTTAACGTGTTCGCCGTGAAACCTGAAAGTCCTGAGTTACATCGCTAGCGGGGTGGTGTCATGGATGCGCGCTACTGACGAGTCTCGTAATACGATGAAACAACTGTGCAGTGCTCCCAGGTTTCTAATGGTTCTCCGACTGATGTCATTCTGTGATGAATACTATCTCAAAAGTAAAATCCCCACTGACCTCAAAATACAGAAGTCAAGAAGTTGAGCACTGAGCAGATGGTTTACTAAGGAGATATATTTTTAAAACCTTGATGAGGTGGAAAAATAGATTTCTGATGAAGTAAATCGTTGCGTAATCCTGGAATGAAATCAATAAAGAAGAAAAGTGTTCTTTACCTGTGACCATAGATGATGTGGACCAGTGTTACACTTAGGTGGACTATATTTCAATTGATCTGATACAACTAAAGGTAGAACTTCGCCATCATCTGCATTGTGTACAGAGAATACGCCTAGACGACGATGAATTGTTGCTTGCCAAGCATCGCTTAGTTCATTCAGAAGCTAAACAACAATTGAAAGAAATAAGAGAATTATGAACAGAAGCCATAAACTATTGAAGTGTATCTTATCACAGAGTCAAATAAAACTAGGCAAACAGGTTATGGTCAAGAAGTATACTAAAACTGTTTCGTCATAGGTGAGGCAACACTAACAATGCGACAACCAGTCATTATATAGGTCATTGGTTCATATTTTACAACTTCTGTCAATTACGGATATACCGCGATCATTTAACCAAATGACATTGTGGATATTCATTCTCCAATTCCACTTAGTTGACTGACCGCACAGGCCACGACTCCTGATTAAAATATCAGTAAATCCACCCTAATGTCAATATTTATTGGGCACTGAATCTGTTTGTCAATGGATGGTACAATATTTAGCAAATTGCGGAACTCACAAATACAATAACATCGATATTCTTATAATTTGTATAATAAATCAGTGATGAATAGCGATTTTTCAACTTCGGATACGTGACTGAGATGAGCTCATATTTTAGTGTGCAATGATCTTCCAACTAGATCTATGATTACTTAATGGGGGTGAAATGCAAACACAAGAACGAAATAAAATTTTCCTTAGGCTGCCAGATAAGTGTTCAGAAAACTATGAGTTTTCAGCTTTAAACAAAGATCGCTGGTGCAAATTTGATCAGGTCAAAATAATTCATTCAAAGTGCGGATATTTCGATAAAATACACAGTAAGTTTGTGGTAAATAAGTGAAGTTGGGTCAGGTTGTATAGTTTGAATACTTACAGTAGACGCTATTCGATATCGAAACCCGGTGATTTTCACCGGTCAGTAAAGTATTGTGTTCACTTACACCTTAAACACATTTCTCGGGTTTGGTAGGATCATCAAGTGAGCAATGTCGACGTCGGGCGAAGAGTACTAGCCAAGAAAGGCTAATCGTTTGATGAGGTTGTGAACCTTCATCGATCGAGATAGCTTGGATGCGTCCTGTCCATGCTACGCCACAGCCTACTTCGATTTGACTTGCTAGGGTAAGCTGGATGAGTTTGAAAGAGGGTTCAGGGTGGCTAGGTCACAAAGTGGCACCAGTCAATGAAGTGTCTCACTGCTGATCTCAGCCGTGTAGGGAGGTGTGGACTATGTGGTAGGAGTCTCCGAGAGGAAAGGAATCATTAGTTGAGAATTCTTGGCGACATGGCTGTTAATCGGTCACAGTGGCACAGATGTATTCTCTTTTTGATGTCTTATAAACTGTGAATAACCTCGCCTGGTTAACTAGTTCACTAGTTACTAGCCGGTCCTAAGCCCGGGTAAAGAGGGAAGGTTGGGCATACGGCTAGCAACCCTACCCCCTAAAACAAATCTAACCGCTAAAGAAACTTCAAAGCACAAACAAAATATAAAAAATAATAACAAAATTATTCCTCGCTGGAATCGGAGAGGCGAAATGACACCAGTTGGTGAAAGCCTTCGGGAAGCCAATTGGCCCATGTGTCTGTGCTTCTCTCGATGAAAGCGAAAGTAAACGTGGGGACATGGAATGTCCGCACCATGTTTGAACCCAGCAAGGCAGCCCAGATTGCAAAGGAGATGAGAAGGTATAACATCGAAGTGCTTGGGATTTGCGAAAGCAGATGGAATGGGAGTGGACTCTCCAAACTGTCAACTGGAGAGGAGTCAATAATCTACTCCGATATTGTCACCAAGACGCCAACCACGAGCACACTGAGGGAGTGACTATCATGATGTCCTCAAGAGCATCGAAGGCTCTCATGCAGTGGGAACCAATCTCCTCCAGGATCATAACAGCGAGGTTCAACTCAAAAGGAACGAAGGTCACAATCATACAATGTAACGCTATGCACCTACAAATAATGCAGAGCAAGAGAAAGATGAGGAATTCTACAGACAACTTCAATCAACACTGGACAAAACCATACCCCAGTTGGCGATATCAAAATTATAATGGGTGACATGAATACCAAACTGGGAGGGGACAACACAGGAAGAGAACTAACCATGGGTCGAGAGGCGCTAGGTGAAATGAATGAGAATGGAGAATTGTTTGCAGAATTCTGTGCATTCAACGATTTGGTGATTGGAGGCAGTGTGTTCAGGCACAAGGATATCCACAAAGCGACATGGATTTCACCAGATGGACACACTAAAAATCAAATCGACTTTATCTCAATCTCAAGAAAATGGAGACGCAGTCTACTTAACACAAGGTCAAGAAGAGGAGCAGATGTAGGTTCAGACCACTATCTAGTGCAAGGAACCTTCCAAATCAAGTTGAAAGCCTTCAAGGAAGCTGGTGATGACAGATCACAGTTCAAGTACAACACTCGGAACAGAAACTGAAGGACGAAACTACAAAGGAAATCTTCACGGCAGCCAGCCATCAAGACAAAATGGGAGATATCGAGGAACATCCCTGAAGAAACCTGTGTGGAAGAACACTGGAAGTCTTTGAAAGCTATGTGGAAAGAAACCTGCACAACAGTATTAGGAAGGAAGAAGAAAGAAGACAAGGAATGGATCTCGACGGTTACCTGGAAGCTGATAGAGGAGAAGAGGATGGTGAAACAGAAGATAAACCAGTGCAAGGATGCTCAACGACAAGAGGAACTGAGCACAATGTATAAAACACTGGACAAAGAAGTGAAGAAGAGTGCACGGAGAGATAAAAGACACTTCAACGAAACCCTGGCAAGTGAAGCAGAACAGGCTGCAGGTAAGAGAGACCTGACGACATTGTATCAAATAACCAGGTTGCTATCAGGGAAGAGACCAACACAGATGAAACCAATAAAAGATGATGACGGAAATTTAATTACGAAAGAAGAGAAACAAGGAAACGATGGGCCGACCACTTCAAGAAGCTCTTGAATCGACAACCACCACCACCTGCACTTCGTCCAGAAATACCACCTGCAGCCGCTGAATTACAAGTGAACATAAATCCTCCAACAAAAATGGAAGTCCTGAACACCATAAGACTACTGAAATGCGGGAAAGCAGCAGGACCAGACAGGATACCGCCAGAAGCACAGAGAACAGACGCAGAGACAACAGCAGACATGCTCACACCACACCACTATTGCAGAAGGTGTGGAAGGAAGAGAAGGTACCTGGTGATTGGAAGAAGGATTACCTTGTCAAACTCCTGAAGAAGGGAGACCTCAGTGCTTGCAAGAACTGGCACGGAATCACTCTCCTGTCCACCCAGAGCAAGCAAAATATTAATCCGCATCATCCTGGAGAGGCTTAAGGATGCACTGGATTCAAAACTACGACCGGAACAGGCTGACTGGATTCAGGAAGTACAAATCATGTGCAGACCAAATTGCAACGCTACACTGCGCATCATCATAGAACAGAGCATAGAATGGCAGTCAACTCAACTCTACCTCAACTTCATCGACTTTGAAAAGGCCTTTGACAGCGTCGACCGAGAAGTAATTTGGAAACTGCTTCAATACTACGGAGTACCGCAAACCTTTATCAACCTCATTCAACAACTATATGAAGATGCTACATGCCAAGTAATCCACAATGGGAAGCTCAGTGATGCCTTTGAAGTGAAGACAGGAGTGAAACAAGGTTGCCTACTATCCCCCATGATATTCTTGATTGTGGTGGACTGGATCATGCAGCAAACAGTAGGCAGCGGGAAGAGGGGGATACACTGGACGACGGAAAAGAACCTAGAAGACTTGGATTTCGCCGATGACTTATGCCTAATGTCACATAAACTTGAAGATCTGCAGGCAAAAACTAACAAGTTGATAGAAGAGGCAGCGAAGACGGGACTTCAAGTGAATATAGAGAAGACAGAAGTGATGAAGATACCGCACCACCACCATCAACAACAACAACAACAAACTCCAATCACCGTCAACGGAAGAAACTTAAAGGAAGTAGTCTCGTTCACCTATCTAGGAAGCACTGTTTCAACTACAGACGGCACAGAAGAGGATGTCAAAGTCAGAATCGGAAAAGCAAGACAGGCGTTCATTAGCCTGAAACCACTGTGGAGATCTTCTACACTCAGCATGCGGAGCAAGATACGGATTTTCAACACCAACGTCAAGTTAGTGCTTCTGTATGGCTCAGAGACTTGGCGCGTTACGAAAGGGCTTTCCAATAAACTACAGACATTCATCAACAACTGCTTACGCTCGCTAATGAAGATCAGATGGATTGCCAGAAAGAATAAGCAACAAGGAGCTCTGGGAACGAACCAACCAAGAACCTATCGTTCAACAAATATGCAGGAGGAAGTGGAGATGGATTGGGCATGCACTGAGAAGGCCGACTGAAGACATCACGCGTCAGGCCAAGCCCTCGAGTGGAATCCCCATGGGAAGCGACGAGTTGGACGTCCGAGGGTGACATGGAGGTCGTGCGAGGAAGAAATGAGAGCTTGTGGGCTGTCGTGGAGCCAGGTTCAAAAGATCTCAGAGAACAGAGGTCACTGGAGACGTGCTACTGAAGCCCTATATTCCACTGGGAACCCAAGGGACTAATAATAATAATAAACTGTGGATGTTTCGACTAACCTTAATTTTTAAATTTCCTCTCTCCACATACACCTTTGTTTAAAGCTGATATCAGTCTTTCCTATCCACTTGCTTTTTTGCTATACTACTGTGAATTGTGACGTGTGAACCGATGCACTTGTTTGTGAGGTTCTACTTTGCTTTTGTCTGCCTGTCTGCTCTACGTGATGCTTTCATCCACTCAGTCAGATTCCACTAAAAACAACAAACGACATCTATTTACGATGCTGATCGACTAGTTCCTTCCCGGAATCCAAAGTATTAGAAGCGCTTCTGATATGCGTTCATAGTCAACAGTGGTAAGGGAATATATCGTACCCTGCTTTCGACTAAGTATTACGTTACAAAGGAAATAAATAAAAAATAACATTTTTGAAATTACCTGTATAATCAACTGGGGTCGACCAACAACTAACCATTGCCAACAAGCTAAAGCATTTTCCAACATTTCTGTAGTGAATAGCCTGAGAGGTGAATGACATACCTCTTGTAACAATCGTCTTGCACAATCCCCATTCATAACATATACCTGCTTTGAACCTGTTTTACTAGTTTGCGTAACACTAATTCCCCTGACATTTTGTGCATCGTTGGTAGTTTGTGTAGCTGAGGCGATAGGATAACTGGCAGCTGTTGTAGTACTGACTGAAGCATTCAAAGTATTATATCGAGAGGTTGAAGTAGTCGGTTTACGTAATAACCTTTTCATAACAGAGCCACCATACTGAAGATGACGATGAAACTTATGATACCGACGTCTTGATTGTTTCTCTCGTTCAGATGATCCATCCTCTTCTTCGTCATCTCTTATGTCATCTTCATCTTCACTAGTGTCCTCGTCATTATCCTCATCATCATTATCATCATCAAAGTTATCAACATTGTCTTCACCAACATCATCTTCTTCTCCGCCTTCGTCTCTTTCATCATCGCCACCCCCCGTAGTATCTTCTTCGATTAAGTTGATCTTATTAGCAACTGGATCATGGTAGGACTTATGCATTACTAGTAGGGCAGCCATACGAAATAGGCAAGCTTGTACAACATCTAATGCAATGGACTTTTGGTGTTGTAGTCGTTTAATTTGTTCAGTGATTGGATCAACTGCAGTAGCTTGTGGTTCATTGTTTAAATGAGGTTTCATTTGCCTTGGTTGTGATTCTTCTAGGTTAGTTAGGGATTTACACAAACGTGAAGCTAAAACAAAAAAAAGACAAAACAAGCAATCAAACAAAGTAACAAATTAAGGTAGTACTCATCCCAGACTTACAATAGCTGGAGAACCGCTGAAAACCTGGAAGGATTAGACAGCTGTTTCTTCCTAGTATGGGACTCTTCAGTGGTAAGTATTTACGATCACACACACTCCCAGGGATCGAATTCAGGACCTTAGGAATAAAGTCCCTACAAATTTCAAACTGAAATAAAGTATTAAGAGGAGAGAGTGTAGCTCATTGGTTTAGCGAGTTGACTCCCAACCACTGAGTCTCAGATTCGAACACCCCCCAACATGCGAAGGTATTGGCAGTCAGTCAGATAGTATCAGTGCCCCCCTAAACACAAAAAAAGGTTTGGCTTACTCCCTACTGCAAGAATATGTACGTACGTGATAAGCTTACTTAAAGTTTGGCTTTCATGTGTGACAAAGGGTTATAGCAGTAGGCAACTACTATCTGAACCTGTCAACGGCATTTAAAAGTGAAGTGCTTCAGTCAAATGACGCCTGTTTCTCTCATGACTTCGCATTGTAAAAATGCATCAAACGTGACCTACTTACGTTTGTTTTTTCTTTATCTTTTTTGGTCGTCAGATATCTTAATGATTTCAAAAAAGTATTCCATTTAACCCCTACTGTACAAGGAAGCAATGAGTTGCCCGCATAACTCAACCTCTTCTTTTGCGTTTCATTAATCACTGCATGTCAACTATTTTTCCATACTGTTCCCACCTTATTTCCCCTAGACTAATAAAAAAAGACTATGCAGCGACGCCAGAAGAATCAGCAATGTACCTAGAAATTATGATGATTAATTTTTTTAAATGATTTACAGATTGCACGATCCACATCGACACATTTCTCATAGCTAAGTGGTTTTTCAACTGCCGCCTAACCTTGGTGTCAAAAAGGGTTTATGCTGGAAACCACGTGTCAGCCAAGATCATAAGGTGTAGTCCCTGACACAAAAGTGTCATAAACTACAAACTAGTCATCTTATTTAAGGTACACCGGTTCATGCAAGCCAGTTGACGATATTTAGGGGATCCTAACTAATTCGGCTTTGTGAGTCCGGCGACACTGCCAATGAGGTCGGCCCCAAACGAGCGAAATATCTGTCTGGTTTTTAGATCACTCTGATATGATTGGCCAACGAAATCTACAGATCAGTCTGAGTGGTTTCTAAATACTCAATTTATTCACAGTAGTTTATTTCGGTGGACTTTTAACTTATATTATAGATACTGCTGTGAACAGACTTCTCAATTAGTGTAAACGACTGGCACTTATCAGTCTTCAGGCAAAACCAAGCGCAAGTAAGTACACATGCGATTTAACAACAATAAAAAGAACAACTCTAAAATACCGTACATGGATCATATCATCCATAATAATCAAATGTAAGTTGAAAGCTCAAACATTAAATCGATGGTGGGGTCTTAGGGGAGACTAGGAATGAGGTTTCAGTGATTTGATTGTTGGGAATGGTCGCAGAGTAAGAGGTTAGAGAAGGTGTATGAGGATTGGTTGAGTGGATTACAACCGCCAAATTTATATACGCTCTACCATTCACCTAATTCTCCCCCTGAAACAATGTAGCTGTAGGCCAAATGAAAACCAAATAACAGCTGCTTAACACCTACTTTTAATACAATACCGTAGTGGGTTAGGGATAAAAAGGATTATATTCTTTCCCTATCTGGACAGTGTAAAAAGAAAAAATGAACAAAAAATACAACGATTTCCTTCCTTAGGCATCGACTAGCCGTTGTCTCTCACCTTCATTCACATGTCAACACCTGATGACCAAATTATAAGTAAAATAAAACTATCAAATGAGAATTGTAACTCGAAAAACGGGAAAATCAACTAAGTGACATGCGAGAAAATTTAAAATATGCATAGCCATTAAACAATTACAAAAAAAAGAAATTTGGAAGGAGTAACTTAATTCACTTGCCATGAATACATGCAGCATCCAAATCTCTAATCATTTTGTTAACAAGTTTCATTGGATCGTCAGAACATCGTAGCATTCCAGATGCCTGTGAAGACAAAAAGATTACAGAAAGAATAAGGGAGAGTAGCCGGGATGATTATTTAATATTAGGAAAACAGAGGTATCAAGAAAAGAAGGCTTGAAGCGTGAGGGCGGTTGACATTTCCTGGCAGTCCACATCGTGGAAGGCTAGTTCTTCTAAGCGTACCTGAAAAATAAGGGATAGTATGTGGCCGTAGAGCTCAAGGAACATCTGTGTGGGGTGCGTCACATTCAGCTTTCTCGCACGTTTGGGGTTTTGGTTATTTTTTTTCGAATCTGACCATGAATCCCAGTCTCAGGCATCAGTATGTCATGATGGATAAGTGGGAGTCTACTATTTTAAGGCCAACCTTTTCCAACTCCCCTTCCCGTACGAAAGGCAGCATTAGCGTAACACTGTTGGTCATCCAAGGGAAACACCTTATTGCTGTCAAGTCCTCGTCCAGTCAGCAGTACGACTTCGTACTCAGACCCCCATCATAGCATAGCAATTTACACTGTTTTTTTCCTAACAACTAGGCAACAGACATTTCTGGTACTGTTGGACTTCGAGGGAACAGGCTTTCCAACAAGCATAGCTCGTTGGGTCATTATGATATACACGCTCGACCACCACGTCAAGGTAGCAGCTATCGGTCAGGTAAAAGAAAGGAAACGATAATAACAGAGAAGGCTAGAGTCGGTATAAAATTAGAGCTGCAATGAATGACATAATGATAGACCTTACGACAATACCTCTCATGGAAAGGGGTGTTCGGTAGATAATGTCACATCACTTGAACAGACATGGTTTTCTTACGGCCTATAATGAGCCGTCTAGTGAGTTGTGTATATCTAATGGTATCTGTCAAAATTTTTCATTCATTTCATGCTTACATTGATCTCTCCACTATCCCCGGAATGGACACCTTAGTCCACTTAGATGACTATCCAAATGACATGGTTCTGTGAGCAGAGGATGCTGACACATTATATGACCAAAAACCAAACTCACATGTGCGTTTCTCACCTCATGCATAGAAAAAATTGCTTCAGGACTGGTCTGAGAGTAGAAAGTGAAGTAGTCGATTCAGTTGGTTAGTTCGATTATTTAAGAAGTTGAATCATTTTAGTGAGTCAGTGACTGACGGAATTTCCGTTGAAGTATGAAAGACCCGGCTGACGTCTTCCAACTTACTTGACTTGTTGCAGCGGTGACACATCCAAACACTCATCAAATGTCAAATTAACCTTGCGACAGTTAACTCTGTTCTACTTGTTGGTCATAAACATGGCTGCTAGAGCTACAGCACGAGGTGGCTTCAGGTGGTTGACCACTGTTATCTCAGAAACACTGACAACATGTAATAGAATCACTGCCTTAGTAATGTAGAGGTTAGTTGCAGGGAAAAGAGGTAAGTCAATTGAGGAAGTTTTAAACCTGCCCGACTGCCACAGTTAGGACGTGTCAGATGATGTATGGCTCGACCGAAACCTTTCAGAATGGGATTCACGTGAAAGTGATGATCAGGAACACAAGGTGATAGGCTGGAAATAATCACTGTAATGCGGATGCATCCAAGCCTTATCTTTCCCCAAACCATTTATCGAATATCGCTGTTTGCTTGACTATCTGTTCATCCTGTTTGACGGCCTTCTCTTATTTTTACATAACTTCCACTTGTTGCCTTATATCTTGATGTGATGACGTGGTGTTGAAACTGGAAACAGCTGTACAGCAATACCCAGTGTCCCATTTAATTTCTGATTGACTAGTGGTAACTTCGTTATTCCAGCAGGATCAATTATATATATCACTGACATAATACATATTATCTTCTTAGTCTGCTCACGTCTTAAACCAATCCACATATCGAGCATGGATCCATTGGCGCGATAATGGAATTTAGTTGTTTTACATCCAGTAAAATGCTAAATGTCGCTGATAAAGCGGGCTGAAGAGTGATGTCACATTCTCCCATTCGTCAGGAAATTTCAAGATGAAATATCAACCACAAACAGATTAAAAATTACAAATTTTCCAGAATGATTAACAAATCCAACTCAGCAGAAAAAAATGCACTTACTTCACCCAAGAAGCGATTGCGTAATATCAGATTGTACATAAAATTTGATGAATCCAACTTAGCACAAGTCGGTCGTTTTTCAAGTGCATTAGTCTACAATTAACAAAGTGGCAAAAGAAAAGCAAATAGGAATAGACGAAAAGATAATAAATGAGTAACTAATTCGGATAATGAATACACATTCATCATCATCATCAAAATCAACATAGGACCAGGCATTACTGCCTATCCATCCGAGTTGCCACACATCATATCAGTACATCAAGTGAAAAGACAGTAAAAGACAGTGCAAGATGAAAATAAGAAAATTCAGTCAAAAGAAATATAAAGTACGAAAAGAGAGAAAGGAAGAACGACAGAATGGTGAGATTCGGTAAAGCGTTAAGATGAGGATAATGTGTGTATACATCTGCCCCACTGACTTCGGTTCTCAGCCACATCACAAAGAGTCTCCAACCACTGGTTCCTCTCGTCCCACCGACTCCAACCATCTAGTCTGCATACACCCACATGGCTCAAACAAACAGCCAGAAACTTCATACATCCATACCATGTTTTAGTCTGGCCACCTCGAGCCTTTTTCCAGCCTCGACCCACCTCAACCAACATTGTGTGACGAGGCAATCGGCGACTAGGCATACGTAACACGTGTCACAACAATCTCAGTCGATGAAGGTTCACAACCCCGTCTACTGATTTACCTCTGCTCCCTAAAACTCTACACCTAACTTCTGCACTCCTCATGTGGTGACACCACAAAGTACGGTCTATGCTTAGAAGGTAACGGTGACGGTGGTCAAACACCTGAAGCCTTCTCATTTCCTCCCCTTCAATAACCATGTTTCACAGCCATACACAGTAGAACAGACTGGACTGCTGTCCAATACATGCGACAATTAATAGACAATCAGATATCACGGTGGCACCATAGGTGGCATAATTTGGCAAAAGCCAATCGAGCCTTTTATATCCGTGCAGAGATTTCATCGGCCACTGAGCTAGCCACCAGGGCAGGACTGATCCTACTTCCCAGGTAAAGATACACATTCAAGAGTAACAGTCACCTCTCTTAGTCAATTTCGAGGTTTGTGAGTATTGATTTATTGATTTCAGGTTGGTATTTATTGCGGACTGACATCAGGTGGACAAACGTTGGAAACCTTGGAGCACTGGACAGACGTTTCGATCTAGTACAAGATATATTAGCGCTGTGGACCCATGACACACTATGTCAGAGGTCGAACCCAGGATCTTCAGGTTCTGCCGCCAGCACGTTGCCATTGAACCACTGTAGTGGGACCTAACAATCCACATTTTATTTCAGTCATTTCATGATATATATATATATATATATATATATATATATATATATATATATATATATATATATATATATATATATATTCCTCTGCAGTAGACACTTACGAGCCCACTAGAGGTCGAACTTACGACCACTAGTTTCACGGCGAACTCACTAACCACTCAAACATTGGGTCGGAGATCAATGGTCTACAGTCTCCTACTTCTCTCAATTCATGATAGGGTACGACCATCTACCAAGGTCTTCAGTTGGGATCCGCTTTACTTCCGAATGGTCGCCCTACAAGTCCTGCGGTTTCTCACTATACCTTTGAGATATGCATCTCAGAGCATATCACTAATAAGTGCCATACGGCAATGTATTTTTGAAGCTTATGGGGATTTTATTATCAAGGCAGTATGCATCACGGAGTGAAATCAGTTAGACAACCACTGAAAATCCTACGAGCACTGGACAGAATAGTTTGATTACCAGTCGAAACTTTGTTTCTCCGACTTTCACAGATTATAAAAGATCTAACTGACAAGTGTTTCAACGAAAATATTTATAATTGCACACTCTAATCAAAATCTATATCAATCAAACTGAAGGTCACACACAAACTCGCGTTTCTCAGCATAAAAACTTATCACTTATCTCATGAGATGTCTTTTCAACACGAGAAATATCTGATTTCTTAACTGACTTCGCAAGATGAAAACTATTTATAAAGGGTAAAATTAAGACATTAAGCTGGCTTTCTTTACATTTCCACCCCTTGAAGAGTGATTATATAAAGCTTTTGTTTGATAACCTTCTTAATCTCAATGAGCTGTAACAAGCTGTCGATGATCACCACATAACTTTTAAAGTGGTTTTCAACAAAGCTCAGCACCATGCTTATTTAAACAGATTATAAATTTGACAAACAAAACAAAAGGAGACTTCAAATCAGTGTGAGCGTTGACCAACTAGACCCCACACACACACATACCCCAATTGTTAATAATACCACAATTGACTCTCCAAACCAAAATCCATTGAAACTTGCGAATTATTTTTCATAAAAAGAAGAGTTCAAGACATTTAAAAAATAAACGACAGATATGAATTACCCAAGAGAAGATGCGGCCCGATTAAATCCAGCATAGTTCAATACAGATTCTGTAGCCAATGCAAGACCAGTATGCTGAGGTAGATCAGTTCCAGGATGTTGTAACTCCAGCATATAATTGATCAAGTGGGATCGAACTAAGTTCGGTGCCCATTGTAAGCCAACTTCAATAATGCCTTTACAACGTTTGACAAAATCAGTCAACATTTTTTCACGCACAGGTAGACTGTCTGTTGTTATCAATTTGAAATTTGTACCCGGTACATTGTAGACAGGAGCAGTATGATTAGGATCCTAGACGGTAGTAGAGAACATACAAAATGAAATACACAGAGAAGGTATGTTAGTTTTAGCACAACGAACAGTCAGACAAACTGACAAAATCAAAGTAGGAACCGGGACACAAGTGTACTACTTCAAGCTGACACACTTCACAGTAGCATGGAAGGAACAACTGGACAGAAAGAGACTGATATTAGAGTTGGCAAAGGTGTATGGAAGGAGAGGAAATTTAAAAAATTAGAGTAGTCAAAACATTTAAACTTTGAAAGACATCAAATAGTGAATAGATCTGCACCACTGCCACTGATTTTCAGTC